GTCTCTTTGGGAAAGGTGATAGCCTAGTCAGGGGGCCTCAAACTTTTTAAACAGGGGGCCAGTTCACTGTCCCTCAGACTGTTGGAGGGCCAGACTATGGGCCCCAGAACAAGTCGGCTGCTAAGCAGGACAGGCAGCAGCAGCCAAAACACCCGGTGGGCTAGATAAATGTCCTAGGCGGGCTGCATGTGGCCCATGGGCCATAGTTTGAGGACCCCTGGCCTAGATGCTCCTACAGTATATAGTTAAATAAGCTCTGGAAGGCTTTAGAACTCAGAGTTTAAGAAATTGGATAGTTTGTTAAAGGAATATTCTTATTAATTGAATAATTTGGAATGTACTAGGTATGTATCCTGGTATCTTATACATTTTAAAATACTGGAATATAGCTGGGTGTGTTGGCTCACACCTGTAATCTCTGGGAGGCCTAGGTGGGTGGATTGCTTGAGCTCAAGAGTTTGAAACCAGCCTGAGTAAGAGCAAGCTTCATCTCTACTAAAAATAGCCAGGCGTTATGGGAGATGCCTGTAGTCCCAGGTACTCAGGAGGCTGGATTGCTCCAGCCCAAGAGTCTGATGTTACTGTGAGCCATGACGTCACCGCACTCTACCCCCATGGTGACAGAGTGAGCTTCTGTCTCAAAAAAAGGAAAAAAATACTGGAATATGATAAAATTAATTAAAGGCAAGATTTCTTGAAGTGTTTTGAAGTCATTGTCATGTGTTTTTGTTATCTTTGTACATTTTTAGGCTTTTTGATTCTGGAAAACTTTAAGGTGTCTAACTTTTCTTCTTGTAAGGGCTTCTTAAGAGTTTGTCAGACATTCCAGCAGGAGATGTTTTATGTGGATAGTTTTCATATTCATTTCTTATTTGATAAGAATCTTAAGAGTTTTGTGTACTATTCCATTAAAATATCATTAAGTATGTGGTGAAAAACCTGAGATTGCTGTGTAAGAGAAAGAAGTTTCTTATTACCTAATGTTTGAAGTATGAAGTCTCAGGGTTGTTGATGGATAGGCTGATACTGGGAGAGTAGAATTTGTAAAGAAGCTGTTTAAAAAGGCAATGTAGTATGGATGAGAAATAGCACTCATTTTAAAGTAGTGGAACAAATGGCTAGTGATTGGTCAGGAATGGTTTCCTAAGCTTGGTATGCTCACTAGCGTGTATGGGATGTTTGATCAAGTCCATAAATACTAGCTGATCTCTCCTGGGGACAGTTGCACTGAAACAGAGTTTTAGATTGGACTCTTTGTTTGAACAAGAACAATCGCCTTTTCAGCTCTGTGGGTGAAATATTAGAGTTATTATAAACTTTAGGTACTGGCATGGATGTAAAATGGGCATTGGTTTGCCAAGTAAACTGTCTTACTAAAGAAATAAATAGGCTAGGAAAGTGTTATAATTTCTAAGAGAAAAGGTTTCTTTTGTTTCAGTTTAGTTTCTCAATCAGTCTAGTATGATACTACAAGATTTAAAATAGATCTTAGAGGTCAGGCAGTGGCTCACTTCTATAATCTTAGGACTTGCGGAGGCCGAGGCAGGAGGATTGCTTGAGTTCAGGAGTTGGAGACTAGCCTGCGCACAAGTGAGAGCCTTTCTCTAATCAAAATAGAAAAATTAGCCAGGCATGGTGGTACACCTGTAGTTCCAGCTACTCAGGAGCCTGAGGCAAGAGGATTGCCTGAGCCCAGGAATTTGAGGTTGCAGTGAGCATGAGGATACTCTTGTACTCTAGCCTGGGTGACAGAGCAAGATCCTCTGTCACAAAAAATAAAAATTGATTTTGGAAATGATTGAACTGCATACTCATTTCCCATTAGGATTAGGATTGGGGTCACTAGTGATTATAGCTAGCCATCTTAATTAATGTGGACTGAGATGATTGCCCAGCCAATATGTTAGGGATTATCTGTGATTAAATAGAGTAATTTAAACCTGTGGACTTCAGATTGATAGTAATGGTTATTTCCTTCTTTCTGCTTCCCTTTCCTCTCCAAATGAGGGAGGGATTTAAATACTACTGTTATTTAAACAACTAAATACAGTGTGAATGCCTTTCAGTAAATGACAAAGGCATCATTTCTCCCCTTAGAAATTTCTAAGTTTTCTCTTTGAAAATGTTTTAGTAAATTCTCCTTTTGATTAGAAGATTATTCTTTTTTAAGCACCAAAGAAGGTAAGAAAAGCTTCATTTATCTCTGCTACACCCCTTTTAATGAAAGGCTTTGTTCTGTAAAATTTAGAGTTAGTCAAAAGGCTGCACTCAGGAATTTTGAAGGCCACATGCTGAAGGTTCCCTACCCCTGGAAAAGCTGGTCATGTGAAACTGTCTCTTCTAAGTTTTATTTATTTATTTATTTATTGCATCTTTTGGCCATGGCCGGGTTTGAACCTGACACCTCTGGTATATGGGGCCGGCGCCCTACTCCTTTGAGCCATAGGTGCCACCCTCTTCTAAGTTTTAAATTGGGAAATGGAGGGCTGGTGCAATGCAGGCCTGTAATCCTACCACTCAGGGAGGCCAAGACAGGTGGATTGCTGAAGGTCAGGAGCTCGGGACCATCCAAGCAAGATGTGAGACCATGTCTCTAAAAACTAGGTGGGTGTTGTAGTGGGCACCTATAGTCCCAGCTACTCAGGAGGCTGAGACAAGAGGCTGACTCAAACCCAGGAGTTTGAGGTTGCTGTGAGCTATAATGTCACAGCACTCTACCCAGGGCAATGTAGTGAGACTCTTTTTCAAGAAAAAAAATTGGGAAATGGGAAATATTTGATTAATTAACCAATAAATACTAATTTTTAGGTACTTTACTGCTATAGATGCTAAGAGCTTTAAATTTTATAGACTACATGTAGTTATACTTTTATTTATTTATGAAATAGAGTCTTGCTCTGTTGCCCAAAGTAGAATGCTGTGGTGTCATCATAGCTCACTGTAACCTCAAATTCCTGGGCTCAAGTTAACTTCCTGCCTAACCCTGCTGAGTAGTTGGGACTAAAGGCGGGTGCCATGATTCCTGGCTCATTTTTTCTGTTTTTGGTAGAGATGGGATCTCGCTCTTGCACAGACTGGTCTTGAACTCTTGAGCTCAAGCAATCCTCCTCTGTGGGCCTCCAAGAGTGCTAGGATTAAAGGCGTGAGCCACCATGCTCAGCTATACTTTAAATAAATGAAACCATCCATGTCATGAATTTGAAGACTTAAAGTTGTTAAGATGGCATTGGCCCCCAAACTGATCTACAGAGTTACTGCAGTCCCCTTCAGAGTTCCAGCTGACCTAGTTGTAGAAATTGACAAGCTAATTGTAAAATTCATAGAGAATTAGAGGGGACCCTGAATAGCCAAAACAGACTGAAAGTCTAAGTCACACTGCCCCATTTTTAGACTTAACTACAAAGCAGCAGTAA